GACATAGAGACAGAAAGCGAGAAATCACCCCCCAGGGGGGATGGTCACGCCGCAATCCCTTCTCCTCCATTCTCCTCTCGGGATCTTGGGCACGCACACACACGCACCTGGCGTGAGTTTTAAGCCACCGGGTCCGGGACACGAACCGCAGTCGACTACGTGGGAGTCCAGCGACATAGCCATTACGCTAACTGCTGGCTCCCAGTGAGAAAGCAAACCGCGGGTCCAAGACTCCAACCACCGGCAGTGGAGTGGGAGTCCAGCACTTTAACCACCACGCCCAGGCCCAGATTTTAAGGCAACCATGTTTACTGTGTTCAGAGGAGTAGCCTGCTTGTTGCCCCTTGCTGTCTCTCCTCTCGGGAACCAAGACTGAAAGCGCTCTGGGCCCCTCACCCCACCTCCACTCTGGGCCGTGCGTGCTCCCTGGCTGCGTTTCCTGCTGCGAGCTCTATTTCTCGGAACACAGAAAACACAGTGGCCTTGAAGCCTAGACCCGGCAACTTCGGGGACCGGGGTCTAGGTCTATCCCTCCCTGGGCCTGTGTTGTGGCCCCTTGGTGGGTAGGTGGCTGTGCACTGCTCACCGGCCTTGAAACACTTTTTGGGGGAGTCTTGGCGACTCAAGGCCAGAGTCTGTTGCTGCCAGCTGGCGCAGGCCTGCGCTGCCCCAGGAGGGCTCCCTGCCTCTCCGCTCCATGCCCTGTAGGCACCCGAGACTTGAGCAGAAGGGCTGCCTGGTCTGTCCTGCTGGGGCCCGGCCCAGTGTGGGAGAACTGGGTGGCCTGGGTCTCCCTCTCAGCCCTCTGGGCTCCACAGGCTTCACCTCAGGGCTTGGACACAGTGTGGGGCAGTGGCTCCTGCAGGGCTCCCGGCATGAGTGCGGGCCGCCAGCCCCAGCCCGCAGGGCCTCCGCAGCTGCACCCACCTTCCCGATATCAGTACTGACGCTGTGGCCCCCCACGAAGGCATCCCCAGCAGTGATGGCCTCCTCCCCGGTCAGCATTTTGAATGTCGTGGTTTTCCCGGCTCCATTGAAACCCAGCAAGCCAAAGCACTCCCCCTTCTGGACCGCGAGGGAGAGCTTGTCCACGGCCAGGAGGGGCGCCTGCTGTTCATACACCTGTGGGCCCAGAGAGTACGGAGTGAGGGGGCCAGGGACAAAGGGGATATTGGGCAAGGGGACTCAATTCAGAGGGGACACTGGGTGAGGGGGCCCGAGATGGGGGACACTGGGCAAGGGGACCCAGTTCAGAGGGGTACCAGGCAAGGAGCTCGAGGCAGAGAGGACACCAGGTGAGGAGGCCCGAGACAGGAGACACTGGGTTAAGGGGCCCTACTCAGAGGGGACACCGGGTGAGGAGACCCAATTCAGAGGGGACGCTGGGTGAGGGGGCCCAAGAGGGGACAACGATAGCACCTCAGACAGGTGGTACTAGACGAGGGGCCCAGGGCAGGACAGGCAGCCTGGGCTTCAGCCCTTGGGAGAGGGACGGCTCTGGGATGGCCGTGTCCATGTCACCTTGGAGAGTTCTCTGACCATCAGAGGCGTGTCGAGCAGGGCATCCAGGCTGGGGGCCAGGATCCGGCTCCTCTCGGCGGCCACATCCTGGTCCTCGGGCAGCACTGCGCTACGGCTGCACAGTTCTGTCTGGGCTCGAGACAGAGACCGGCACGTGAGCCCCTGCCCCAGAGTGGCCTGGGAGGGCTGGAGGGGTCCCCCAGTGGTGGCAGCCAGGAGCAAACTCCCGGAGCCAGCACTGAGCCCAGGAGCTTGCTCCCCTAGGAGCATGCCTGCGGGATAGGGAGGCGAGGCCCCCAGAGAGCCCTGCTGTCTGAAGACGCCCGCTCAGCCCCGGCCCGCCTGCGCCCAGTGAGGTCTCCGCAGGCTCCGCTCTGTTTGTCGGAGGCTGTGGAGACCCCAGAGTCCCTGGAAAACTGAATGTCCGTGATGTCTGCGGCGAGGCCCTGGAGCATTGTGG